AGCATATTGATGTATCATCACTCATAAAACAAGATTAAATAAACTCCTCAAAATTCATGTTAATTATTCTTTTTGCACATTTAGGTAGATTCTAAGCTATCGATTACATAGCACAGATTTCTATGTATTTCTTATCATCGTATCGCGCGCTGGTATAGTGTTAAACAAGTAAAGCTTGTAACATGACAAAATAATACACTAGTTATTTTTGTTCTGTGAAAAATTTAGTTATTGTCGATTATGCAAATATCATTTGATGAGATTTGTGTTAGTTAACACACATCGATTTCTAAGTACATGTTCTAGGATGTTGATATCGACATATATTATATAAAAATAGCTACTTTTTGTCATATTTGAAATTGGTTAATATTTATTATATGGTTATAAATAAAGTTAATATTGTGTGCATAAAAGTAACGTATTATCCACCGAGATCTAATAAAGTTTTGCTATTTGGTTTACAAGACTCAACCTTATCTATAGCCAGAACGATTTTATTATGTTATATAGTTATAGATTTATATTTAAATCTGTTGATAATAGGTCGCAGGGTATTTGAACTGAAGTGACGTTTATAGGTGTTATGAATTCGGTGGTATTACAGGCTTTAAAAAAGGCATTTTCTGTGCAGTTGAACGAATTATAAAAATAGTAGCAAGTACCATAATCGACTATAGCTTTAGTTACACTGTTATCAACGTTAGAACATCCTTCGAAATATATGTGTTCGTTATCATCTTGGAAAATTAAAGCTAAAAAACGAAAAAATACATTAATACATTAATATGAAGTTACTTTATATATTAACAAATTAATCAAATGCACATGCTCTTACTGAGATTCCCGCATGCTTTAACAAAAGCCAAACCGAACAGAAATAGAATAATGGACTGGAGCTTCATTTTGCTTCGCAATTAGCTTTCAATAATATTGAATGCGATGGGGTGAGGGTCTCCTTTTATATTAGAATTAACTAGTCGAGTTTCTCTCTCTTAATTTTGTGATTGATTAATGTACTAGTAATTTTAATTCAAACAAATGTTACAAAATTACATGTACAGTGCATGTATTCTCAAAAGTATTATACATGTACATGTACTTATTGTACATGGTCTTTTTGATGCACATATGCATGTACATGTATATTTATAATAATTCTCGTAATTTCTTTTAGCAATTCGTTTAGGAAATGGCCTACATCATCGTTATCGTTATGAAACTTAACAATTCTCATCTAATTATCTTGTTGATTACATGTAGATGTATTTTCCCCTTTCTCCTGCATTAAATAACTTTTGATAGGTTTAATTGTATCGTTACATTATACTCAAAAGTTAGGTTGACTAAAGTATTGAGAATGCAACAGAGGACGGGGCTAAATTGAAAGATTTACGCAAAGTGGTTACACTAAGGTTCTAAAGGTCACCTGTGCCAATCTTTTACGGCGATTGTGAAATAAAAAAGTAAAGACAATCAAGGATACAAGTAAAATATTTAATTCCAATTAACAAAAATTAGTAACAAAATATAATTTCAATTCAAATAGCAAAATGATTGCAAATGGTTTACCGACCCAATTTAAACAATATATAAAGACAGGCTCACTCCAAAAACAATAATATAGGCTTCAACAAAAAAACGAATCAGATAATCAAATAGTTTCAGCATAATATCGAATCTCTTTTTTTCTCTAAAACATTAGTCATAAAATTTATTAAACGTCATAAGTTTCATTAATTTAGATAATAAAGGATAACTCTTGAAGGTCTGAGATGCATGCAATAACCAGATAAAAATGATTTAAATTAATGATACCTGACGAATGATGAAACATTTCGTCAGGTAATTTTGTTTTGACGAATTGACAATTGACGAAACTTATGGTGATTTAAGAAACCTCTGACGATTAATAAATCTTATAACTACTGTATCGTGTTAGAGCTAAAAAATCGATTTGGTATTAAAGTTGAAATTAATTGAAACCTCTCAACATATTATATTTGACACACCTGTGATTTTTTTAAAATAGTAATGAATTTGTAAATATATTAATTTATTGGTATATTTCTTTTATATTATATAATTATTTGATATTTTACTTTAATCTAATTTCATTTAACTTATCATAATAAAAATATAATTTTTCTCGGATCGATCAGGATTTGAATAACATAAAAACTCTATAAACAGCTCTTTATTGAAATTTTTGTAGTTTGCGGTATTGCCTATTCTGCAATTCAGTTTAGACAATAGTCACAGGTTTCGTCGCATTATTCGTATAGATTCGTCAAGTATCATTAATCTAAATAACAGATCATGATCTAGTACAGATTTCGCAGGTCTAAAACATAAAATTTGAATTTCTGTGAGAATTTTATAAAAAGTACGGTTATGCTTCGAAAATAAAAGATTATAATAATAAAATTTAGTATAAAGTTAAAAATGGAATGAAGGAAAATTATTATGTATGATTAAATTTTGTAAGAAAAATTTGATCATTTCTATGGATCAAAATATATAATATGAGTAAAATTTTCGGTAAGAGATACTTATTATTAGAGAAGACAGGTTAATATTAATACTACAAGGTAAGTATATTTGTAGAATTTTTGTGTTATAGCATTAATATTAATACAAATCAATCTCTCTATAATAATAACAATAGCAGACTAATTTTGCTCTTATAACGTGAAGTTAAATATTTCTATAGTAAATATGAGTTATTCTAGAAAACTTAGATACGAGACATATAAATACTATTGTTTTTGTTATATATTATTACATGTAATATGTATATTTACTCCATAATACATATACTCCATAATCACGAGATTTTTGGTTGCGACAACAATAATATTAATAAACATTTAAAGGATCATATATTACTTGTTTGTAATGTTCTCCATTTTCTCCTCCCCTATGTCTATGTTTTTATACTATTATATATTAGAAAGTGGTTTAATATACATGTGATTGCTTTTTATTCACGTAATACTGGTATATGTACTATTAATGTTCTTTCATTTACAATATAATTATCGTTATTGTATATATATGTTATGTTATAATTTAACTCTTCTCATTATATTAGCAAAGTCAGTTAGTTCCCATGGATTTCATGTAGATCCATGAATGATACAGTGTGTAAGTTTTATATAAAATTTGAAAAGACAAATTTTTTGTATTGCTAGTAAATCAGATATTAAAGTATTTAAAATCAAAGTTGAAAAACTCCAAGCAGTTTGAGTATTAAATGATATCATGTAATAAGAGATCATAACACTATACAGTTGCTGAAATATTGTTACTTTAACTAGTTGCTATCATCAGTTTGACACTGGCATTTTACTACTTTCAAGCATAAATTAGAAATAATTTATCATTTTCACTGGTGCTCACAATTTCTTAACAATCAATGATCCAATTCGAGCGAAAATACTATGATTTGATTTATCTCACTTGACAAATCGAATGATAGCATTTTTTCTCGAATCATGAGAAAGGTAAATGTAATATCAAAACAATAAATTCCTCAATTTCATAATTCTTTGTGATTCAACATTAGTATCAAATTATATAATTAATGGTTTGTCATTGTAGCATTTTAATTATTATTATTATTATTATTATTATTTGGCATTGCAAATTTTCTTGTAATTTTTAATAATGTAAAAGAATTTAGAAGACAATTAATTCTTTTTATGTTTGTCACTATCAAAATTTGATAATGTCAAAATTTCATAAAATGAAATGAAAGGGAGTAGTTATAGAAGAACATGAGAAAATTAACATGTATAAAAGAGCATCCCAATGCTTAGAAGAATAATAATAACTAATTAACAACCTTTACTTGATCATTATTATTCATTTGATTGATATAGTGGCAATTTTCACTTTAAATAAGCCATACTTCGATTATACTTGTGTTAACAGAAACTAAGTCCAACTTTATTTAACAAATTGTTAAAAGTGTGTTTGAACACTTGACTATTATTTTACAGGTCAAAGAAATACATCCTGATTGATTTGATTTTTATTTGTTTTTGGCTAGCAGATTGATTTGTGACAAATCACCACAGGAGACCATCAGGACTTCAAAAAACCCTTTATTTATAAATTATTTAGTTCAGTCTAATCTCACACAAATTTTATGATTGCTTAATTTTGTATGAAAGCCATCCTTTTTCATAAAGAGTAGTAACAAGCGTGACAGTATAACGATAAGAATTTAATGTGATCGCCTAATAAAAATACGTATACTGTATATGTATTCTATATAAGAATAATTTCTATAGGAACTGGATATATGACAAACTCTATTAAAAAATATTCAAGCGATAAATGAAAATTTACTTTTTGTCTAAAAAATAATACTTCGGTGTAATGATATAAACTTTTATTGTGATTTAATGTATATAAACATCCGCTGTAATTTTACCGTTAATATTAGCACATGTATCATTAAGATTAAATAAATTCATGCTAATTACTTTTTTACACATTTAGGTGGATTCTAAGCTATCGATTACATCGCACAGATTTTTATGTGTTTTTTGTTAGTTCTCATAAAGTATTTCTTATCATCGTATCGAGCGCTGATATAGTGTTAAACAAGCAAAGCTTGGAACATGACAAAATAATACACTAGTTATTTTTGTTTCTGTAAAAAATTTGGTTATTGTCGATTATGCAAATATCATTTGATGAGATTCGTGTACATTGATTTCTAAGTACATGTACTATATATCTTTAGGATGTTGATATCGATATATATTACGGAAAAATAGCTACTTTTTGTCATTATAGTTAAAAATTTGATAAAAAAACATATTTGAAATTGGTTAATATTTATTATATGGTTATAAATAAAGTTAATGTTGTGTGCATAAAAAGTAACGTATTATCCACATAACCGAGCTCTAATAAAGTTTTGCTATTTGTTTTACTAGACTCAACCTTGTCTATAGCCAGAACGATTTTACTGTTTTATATAGTTATCAATATACATCAACATTTACTGATAATAGTTCACAGGATACTTTAACTGAAAAGACTAATATAGGCTCTTCGAATGTGGTGTAATTATCACAGGAGTCAAAAAAGGCTTTTTCTGTGCAGTCGTCGGTCTCATTATAAAAATGGTAGCAAGTATCAGGATCGACCAAAGCTTCAGTTATATTGTTGCCAACGTAAGAACATCCTTCGCCAAATGTATATGAGTCACCCTCTTGGGTAAATAAAGCTAAAGAAAATAAAAAATACATTAATATGAAGTTACTTTATATATTAACAAACTAATCAAATGCACATGCTCTTACTAAGATTCCCGCATGCTTTAACAAAAGCCAAACCGAACAGGAATAGAATAATGGATTGGAACTTCATTTTGCTTCGCAATTGGCTTTCAGTGATATAGAATGCGATGGGGTGAGGGTCTCCTTTTATATTAGAATTGACTAGTCTTTTTATCTCGAGTTTCTCTCTCTTTACTCTTGTGATTGATTAATGTACTAGTAATCTTAATTCAAATAAATGTCACGAAATTACATGTACATGCATTCTCAAAAAGTATTATACATGTACATGTACTTTGTACATGGTGTTTTTGATGCGCATATGCATGTACATGTACATGTATAATAATTCTCGTAATTTCTTTTAGCAATTCGTTTAGGAAATGGCCTACATCATCGTTATCGTTATGAAACTTAACAATTCTCATCTCATCTAATTATCTTGTTGATTACATGTCCTCTTTCTCCTGCATTTAAATAACTTTTGATAGATTTAATTGTATCGTTACATTAAACTCAAAAGTTAGGTTGACTAAAGTATTGAGAATGAAACAGAGGACGGGGCTAAATTGAATGATCTACGCAAAGTGGTTACACTAAGGTTCTAAAGGTCACCTGTGCCAATCTTTTACGGCTATTGTGAAATAAAAAAGTAAAGACAATCAAGGATGCAAGTAAAATATTTAATTCCAATTAACAAAAATTAGTAGCAAAACATAATTTCAATTCAAATAGCAAAATGATTGCAAATGGTTAACTGCCCCAATTTAAATAATATATAATTCAATTAACAAAGACAGGCTCACTCCAAAACAATAATATAGGCTTCAACAAAAAAACCAATCAAATAGTCAAATAGTTTCAGCATAATCCCTTTTTTCTCTAAAATGATAGTTATAAAGTTTATTAATCGTCATAGGTTCATTAATTTAGATAATAAAGGAAGGTCTGAGAGTATGCAATAACTAAATAAAAATGATTTTATCTCTTACCTAACAGCGTTTCGGCTTTTACATGTTATTTCTTTTGCATGCCATAACGAAATTGACAGCTTGTTTCTTTTGTGCTTAGCAAAATCGAAGGCTTTACCTCTTTTGCCATATAAGTTGTCAACGTGTTATATTTGACGAAACTTTTCGTTAACAAAATGTCAGTAGCGGGTGAATTATATGTCAAATGATTTTTTGGAACGTTATCATGTATAATTAAACTTGAATGAAGTAAAAATACAATATATGTAGAAAATGTTACGAATTAAATGAAATTTTTGACCAAAAAATTTTCCCGCAGATTTATTTGAATAACGAAAAACTTTATGAACAGTTCTTTATTAAAGCTTTTATACTTTGCGGTATTGCCTTTTCTGCAGTAGGAAATATTAGTTTAGTCAATCGTTATCAAAAGTTTGTCTAGTAACATTGCAGATCATAATTTAATACAGATTTCGCGAGTCTAAAGCACAAAGGATACATTTTAATAGGAATTATTATACAAAGAAGTATGGCTATGCTTTGGAATAAAAAAGAGTAAACGTAAATAGAATAAAGTAAAATTTTTGTGTGCAAGAAAATTTAATCGTTTCTATGGATCATAATGAACGATATGAAGTTTTGTATGAATTTTCTAATGTTAATCAAAACTTGGGATCGTAAAGTAAGAATTTTATTAAGAAATTCTTACTATTGGAGAAGATAGCATTAATGTTGAGACTATAAGGCAAGAATATTTGTAGAAATTTTGCGATGTAACATTAATGTTGATACAAAGCCAACCTATATCCAGGCTACTTTGTCCTTATACGGAGAATGTCATTATATGGAGTTAATTTTCCTATAGTAATATATGAAAGATTCTAGAAAATTTGGTCGCTATAGAGAAATCACGTTATAAGAGATCGATTATTTCAATATTAATAAAATAAGATTCAAATTATATAAAATTAAATTGAATTTATTTTACTTTTAATTATAATTATTATTTAATATTATAATAATATAAAATATAATTAAAATATTATATAGTTTTACTCAACTTTTATTACGAAGAATTTTTGTATCGCGGTATTGGTATGAATTTCACGGGATTTTGTTCAGACGGGACTAATTAAGTTTTCGCTACATATATTACATGTACATGTATTAAGAATAAGAAACTATGTATTACCGTTACTCCATATATTCCACAATCACGAAATTTTCGTTGCGACGGCAACAGTATTGATACAAACACTTAAAGGATCACACATCACTTGTTCTCCATTTTCTCCCTTCCATCTTCATGTTCCATAACACCGCATGTTAGAAGGAGCTTTAATGTACATGTAATTGTTTTCTATTCACATAATACATGCACATGCACCGTTAATGTTCTTTCATTTACATCGTTATTGCGTGCGCGCGTAATCTACAGTATATAATATAATTTAACTCCTCTCATTATTATATTGATATCGTTTTATAATTTTATTTGTTGTTCTGTAATATATTATATGTATTCTGTTTCAAATTGATGTTTCGTTTATGGCGAATAATTTAGAAACCTAGTAAAACTACTCTTCATTGCTCAGGCAATCATTTCATTACTTTCAACTTCGTGAACTTTGACTGACGCGATAGTGATCTTTAGAAATCTTGATTTAACTAAATAATACCTCTCTAGTTAGTTTTATTGCGGTTAAAGATGCATTCATTTACTAAAATTTAAGATGTGTTCAATTGTTTAATTCGTCAAAAAAAAAAGATAGTATGTACTAGAATAGTTACATGTAACATGTTTTTCAATTAGTTAATTTTTATTAAAAATATAAAGATACATGTAATTATAATGATTCTAAATCAGAACGTACAAATATGATTATAAAAAAATTACAAAAAAGAACAATCGTTTAATTTTCTCTACCTCTACCATCATAATATTTAGAAATAATTAAGATCATTACAAAGAATAGTGTACAAAGCGTATCTAGTATTTGCCTGCCCATTTTTTACAGCGCGTATACCAAATCGTATAGCGCTATGAACGTCACGATTCACGCCTTTACCCTTATGATATTGGCCTGCCAACACAAATTGTGCCAATCCATCATCATGGGACGCAGCACGATGGTACCAATAACTAGCCTTGAACATATCCACTTCAGTCCCAAATCCATTTCGATAACAAAATCCGACATTATATTCCGCCATAGCATTACAAACTTTGGCCGCTTCTTTAAACCAATACAATGCCAACTCGTTCGAAGGTGCCACACCGATCCCTTTTATGTAACAGTATCCCAAATTGTACTGTCCTGATGTGAATCCGAGTGCTGCTGACTCTTTTGCCCAGTAGAATGCTTGATGTAGATTAATTTTTGCTCCTCCGGTACCGTCCCTGTAGTTTCGTGCTAAAAAGTTTTTAGCGTATTTATTATTGCCATGGTCGCTTGCGTAGTGGTAGTAGTCTTTTGGCGAACTGAATAGTTCGGGTGTTGTGCTTGTTGAAGGTTTTTTGAAACCGAATTCTTTACAGAATCCGTATAGACAGATCAGATTAGAATCTTCGTAATAGGTATTGTTAAGAATTCCATCGCAAAGTTTCTGCATGAAATCAGCTTCATTGCTTTTATTACGATTGATTGCTTTTGTTATAATTTCTGGAAGAAGTTTAAAATAGGTTCCTCGATCAAGTGCTTTGTAAAACTCTGCTGAAACATTTTCTATTAATTGCTTATTGTTGCTGTCTTGCTCATTTGCATTTGTAGTATTAATGTTATGAGTATTATTGTCACAAGATTTTTCAAAGTCGTCGAAAATTATGTTTGCTTTATTGTCGTTATGATTGTTCATTTTCTCCATGCAAAAATTACCGAGAAATGTAAACGCAAAAGCAGTTATTCCCCTGATTGAGACCTTGTTTATTTTATTGGCGCACAAATACTTTTATCGGTACATATCGATATATATCGATATGCAGTATATAGTGCATGAATGTAATACATGTACCATGCAAAAATTCCAATCAACTTCGCATTTAAAAGTGTTATCATTGCCTGATCTAGATATCTACATGTATATGATTTAAAAATGCCTGATCTAGATATCTACATTATATCACCTTTTTCGAGTTTTTTACTTATTGTAATTATAATAAAATGAAAAATACACATTTTACTAATTATAATTAGTAAAATTTCAAGCATTTCATTATTTTGATTGATATTTGTATTATTGATAATACTTTTTAAATAATTAAGAAATTCTAATAAAATAATTACATGTATATAATATTATTAAAATTTATATTTTGCTATTTTTATTTTGTACTAAATAAAGTTTATAATTTATAGTTTAGCATTCTAATGGCAAAATTATTTATAATTCAATTGAAATTTTTTGCAACAAATTAACAATTAGAATAACTCTTTCAGAAAAACTGAAAAAATATATGTAAAACTATATGTTACAGCTTTATTTTAATATTAAAATAAAAATTATTTCTTAAAAAATTAGAAGCTTTAAAATAATGAAAATTTCAATTTTATTAATAAAATTATTCTCAACTATAAGTATTATGATATAAAGCTTTTTATTAAAATATATAATTTATTAATTTGTTATATTCTATTTGGCTATACCTTTTTTTTATAATTTTAAATAAAAATTATTATGATAATAAAAATATAATTATTTAAAATATAATTATTATTTAAAAATGATTTTTTTGAATTATAGGATTAATAAAGAGAATATATAATTATGTAAATATATATTATGAATAAATTTCAAAATTAAAAGTAATTAATAAATTAAAAGTTAAAATAATATAAATCAAATATGTATATTAATAATTAACTCAAATTATAAGTATATACACTTGATAAACAAAAGTTTGAATCCAAAACTTTTATGATATTTATTTCAGAAATTCACTAAACAAAATTTAATAAAATTTATATTATCCAAAAGTTTTACTTCTCCTGTATATTTTTTATTATAACTATATTTCATAAAAATTTAAAATGAATAAAGACAAAAAATTATGTCACACTAATTATTTTATTCAGTAAGCTGAAACCTAAACTTGAAAACCTTTCATGAATTTAATATCTGATTGGCCAACCATCATTAACAATACATTCTTCTATTCTTTGAGGCATATTATCAATCAAATTCAAATAAGTTTTAAGTGAAATTTGTTATCATTCTTGCTTTAAAAATATCTCTAATTCTTGTAAATTTTTTGGGTGCTGAGGGTGACTTCTTAATCATCTACTAAGCTCATTTTACAGATATTTAATGAAATTGAGATTAGGATATTGAAAAAGCTAATCTTCTAAAATTTTGAGCTCTTTTTCAGATATCCACTTCTTTACATTCTTTGCTGTATAAACTGGATATTATTATCTTGAAACATATAATTTTTTCTTTCTCTGAAAAAATTTTCATTAATGAATAGCAATAATTTTTTTCTAAAATATTAATATAATTTTTATGATTCATTTTTTCATCTATTTTTATCAAAGAGTCTAAGCATTTTGTAGTAAAGCAACTTCAAATTATTATTTCATCCCCATCATGCTTTATTAAAGATATCAAATTTTTAATATTATAACAGATTTCTTTCTCATATCAAACTCATGTCTGTTTATCATTATTGAAAAGAGTAAATTAACTTTTATCACTTTATATAATAGTTTTTCACATTCTTTTTGTTTAATTTTGTCTGTTTATATATCAGTTAAGTTAATGTTAATGTTGTTTTTCATTAATAAGCAGTTTTAAAATGGCAATATGAGATCTAAGACCTATTTGATAAAGATTTCTATAAATAGTTTTAGTAGAAAGATACATACTAATAATATTATTAAAAGACTTCTATAGTTTATTAGCTAAAATTTTGTTATTTTTATCAATAATTTTCTTCAAAATTTTTTATTCACTATCTCTAAACAATTTAGGCTGACTGCTTTTTCTTTTACTTATAGGTATTTCTAAATCTCTATAATATCTTATAGTAATTTTGACTATTCTAATAGAAAAATTAAGCAGTTTGCTAATTTTTTACATTATATAATCATTCTTGTAAAGATCAATAATTTGTGATCATATTACTATTATTAGTTCATAATTTTTCCTATTTTTTAAAAAAAAATCATAAAATTAATATTATTTTGATCTTTAATATATATCTAATATCCTAGTTACAGCAAAAAAAAGTATCAGTTATATGATTTTCTGACCAATATTCAATATTTGGCTATATCATATTATTATAACTGATATTAGAGTAATGATATACTTTACAAATCTTTAATTAGTCAAGTCAAGAAAATAATAGTTTTATTATTAGCTTTATTATTAGCTTTACTACAATATTATAATATGCTAAATGACTTTAATTTTCTTTTTTTTCTAGAATTAACATAATCAAAATGTGAGTTATTTTCCTTTTGATTTTTTAGTTTCTTGTTAATTATAAACTTATAATATCTCCTGACACTCATTAATCACTTTTATTACTAATTTCAATAAGCTATCAAAGATATTTACAAAGTGATCATTATCTATTTCTCATTTATATAAAATAAATATAGTTTTCATAATTTTTTTATAAGAAGCAATCTTTTCTTGTCTTTTATTAATTATATTATATCTTATAGTTATTAATAAGTTAATAATACTCAAGCTCTCTTTTTCAACAAGATTAATTATTAATGCATCTTATAAGTTACCATATTCTTTATTAAGATTATTCATTCTATATTGAGACCAGAAATTATTTACTGAATTAATTGCTAATATTTTATCTTTTTCAAAAGTAAATAAAGAATAATCATATTGATATATTATTTCTGAGAAGGTAGATCAAAAATAAATATCATCTTTCTTTGCAATAAAATGCTTATAAATAAGATAATGATTGTGAAGATATGCTAGGCAAGAATATATTCAGTTATTTACATCAATATGATAGATTTCATTTATGTTAGACTAGATTTTCATGGTTACCACTTTTCTTCAATCAATTTTAAAAACATCTCATCATGATAAAAATATCTAATTTCCTTTAAATTGATTTCTTTTAAGATTAAAATTAGATATTAATTATTCTATAAGGATTTGAATAAGATAATTCAAATGTGATTAATTATAATTATATTTATAGTTATATTTATATTTAAGAATCTATCAATAACTTTTTGTAATCATGATGATTCATGTTAATGACATGACAATCAGATATATTGATTAAAAAAAAGCTTTCAGTCTTTTTTATTATACCAGTTTATCCATAGGTACTCTCACAATTTAGCAAGATTATAGCTGTAACCTTTCTAGTTACATGATATAATATATCCAAATAATTCACAAAGAAAAATCGGATATAGTATTATATCAGGAAAATTCACACAGAAGATTCAAGATATAAGTGATATTATTTGAAATAGAATTCA